AGTAATGTTTTTAAGGAGAGTGTATAGACTTTATTATCAAAAATAAAAATTATTTTTGAGAACGTCTGTTTTTTTGGATTGGCAAAGGGATCAGCGGAAAGAGTTAATTAATCATATTAATAATTAAATTAATTATAAATATAATCAATTATTTTATTATTATACTTATAATTAAAAAATTTTCTTTAATATTTATAAATAAGTTTAAAGTTTCTATCTTAAAATAAATTATGTTTTATTTGTAATTTTATAGAGTTATAAAATTTTTTATAAAATTTTTTTTTTAGAATATTTAATAAAATTTTAAATATATAAACTTTTTAATATTTAACTTAATAAAAAATTAAATAATAAAAATATAAACTTATATAAACTTATATATAATTCTATTAATATTAAAAAAATATATTATTATTTTAAAATATCAATAAATTTATTTTTAATTAATATTAATATTAATTTAATAAAAAAAATTTTTTTTATAATATAATTTTTATTATTAACATTGTATTATATTTTATTTATTAATTATTAAATTATAAATAAAAATCAAATAAAATTTTATTTCAGTTTTTTGAACCAGATTGTATATTAAAAGTTTTATTTAATTTAAATTAATATTTATCAAATTATAAGAAAAATTCAATTCTGGTTTTTTTTAAACTGGATTATATATAAATTGTAACTATATGCTATATATAGTAAAATTAAAATTAAATATTTTTCAAAAACCATATTATAATATAATTCTAATTGAAAATTATATTTAATTCAAAATCATTAATTTTCTTTTTATAGTAATACAAAATATATTAATTGTAACTATTATATTAATTTAATAAATTATTATAATGTTTTGATTTGTTATTAAAATAAAGATATAATTAATCTTTTATATATTATAGATTTTTTAATAAAGTAAATTAATTTAATATTATATATAAAAATATATATTGATAAAAGTTAGCAACTCATTAAAAAATTATAATAATAATATTAATTATTATTAACAAAATAAAAAATATAAATATAATATAATTTTTTTAAATAAATATTGAATTATTATTTGAGTATAATATTTCTTAATAAAAACTTATTAGCTTTTATTTTAATAAACAAAAGTTGGTTAAATAATATTTTTTTTAGAAAAAAAGTTAATTTAATCTTTTATATTTTGCAATTCAAATTTTAAGTTGTTTTTTTTTTCTCTTTATAATAATATATTTTTAATTAATTAACTGATTATTAATTTTTTATAAATAAATATATTTAAAAATAACAAATTAAAATTGTAATAAATTACTTGTTCTAAAATTTTTTACAAATTAATTAAATAATATTTGTTTTTCTGCGCTTTTTATTTAATTATACGAATATCTCTTTACAATGATATAGTTTTTTAAAAAAATTCCCAAGTATAGAAATTTAATTATGTAGTAATTGTGACCTTTGTGATCATCATGATACACTATATTTGAACCTAAAAACGGCGGTTTTAGTGTTAATTTAGTCAAATTATCATGGTAAAGAGAATGTTCACAAAAATGCTGTCTCGCTTGAAATTCATTATACTTTCGAGTAGTTCTAAAACACTTGCTTAAACTGCAGTTGATTCGCGTTCGTTCACGAGAAGGTACCTTTCGCATCGACGTTGAACCAGACGACAAGCTTTCAGTTCTCGGAACAAAGGTGGGCGGACGCTTTCACCAGATCGTTTTCTTGCCTAATTGTGTTGTCTTACTACATTGACACGTACTGCTGTGAAATTTATAGATCGCAAAACAATTAAACCTTCCCGATTACTCTTCCATTTATATTTCAGACAACCCCCAAAATGTTCAAATTAGAATAAAGGATAATTTAGAACATGCTATTAGCGAACTTGGAGTCAGGTAAAATGTTGGAAACTCAAAATCATCCAAAAACTTTTTCTTTTTGCCTTCGCTTAACATTTCGCCATTTACATTTTCATTAAGTCATGGTGCTCTTATTTACGCCACATTTGAAGAGACTTCGGATATTCAGGATGACAAAATGGTAACGGACAATTCTTCAGCGCAAATTAACGTCAAACAAGATCCAGTCGATGATTTTCTAGAGAAACAGGATGGATTAATAAAACGTGAGAGAGATCCGAAATTGTACGCTAAGTAGTCATGATCATTCCACGGCGCGTCAGTTGTACAGGGATGCGCATAATTGATCTACAAATTCTTATGTTTTCAGTTGTAAACACGCTGCAAAGGGAATGTGCGATTATTGCATGCCTTTAGAGGTATTCTACAATAATGTGTTTTTTTCGTAATTAACTTGTATGTCATTATGCCTTTCATTTGTATAATTTGTCAATCTCTTCCATTTACCAATCAAAAATATGCCTTCGAAGCCTTATGATGTCAACTATCTCGCGGAAAATAAAATAAAACATACATCTTTTCATGCTTACTTGCGTAAGATTAATAAGCAAAATAAGCAAAACACCAAATTTATTCCGCCATTAGAAGAACCTGATTTTCGCGTAAAAACAAATTGCTCTGGTGGTCATGCGCCATGGCCAGAAGGCATCTGCACAAAGTGTCAACCGGGTGCTGTGACCTTACAACTTCAAGTATGATAAAGACTGTTGGCTCATTCATTTTGTCAAAGTTTTTTTTTTTTAATATTAATCATTTTATACTTTAGCAATATCGTATGGTAGATCATGTGGAATTTTCTGTGTCCAGTTTGATTAACAATTTTATTCATTTTTGGCGATCGACTGGCACCCAACGTTTTGGTTATTTATATGGGCGATACGAGCCATACCCAGATGTTCCGTTAGGCGTCAAGGCGGTGGTCGAGGCCATATATGAACCTCCACAAGAGGATGAAACAGATGGGATAACACTTACCCTTCCATGGAACGAAGAACAAATGGTTGATGAGGTCGCTGCTAGTTGTGGATTAATCAAGGTTAGACATTTTGATCCATGTTTTACTACTTTCATTATAGGATTTTTTTTTTTTTTTTTTTGTTCCTGATATGTTGTAATCGAATTCTCAGGTTGGAATGATTTATACCGATCTAACTGACGACGGAACAGGTTTAGGAAAAGTAATATGCAAGAGGCATATCGATTCGTATTTTCTCTCTTCCCAGGAGTGTTGTTTTTCCGCAGCCATGCAAAACAAAAATCAAACGACATCCAAGTGGAGTGCCTCAGGCAAATTTGATAGTAGGTTTGTTACTTGTGTGGTGACTGGTAACGAGGACGGGGACATTGATGTTGCGGCATATCAAGTCTCAAACACGTGTATGGCCATGGTATCCGCAGATATAATCGAACCAAGTGTAGATCCAGGCGTGGTACGAGTTAAGGAAAGCACATCGGAAAGATATGTTCCTGAAGTGTTTTATAGATACAAAAACAAGTACGGCGTGAATGTGCAGGAGAGTGCGAAACCCTGTTTTCCGGTGGAATACCTGTTAGTAAATGTACGTAACTTAAACGATCCTTTCGTTTACTATGACAGGCAATTGATGTATATCGATTTTTTTACAGGTGACGCACGGTTTCCCACTCAATCCAAATCCATTGTTCGTTTCGCCTACAAGTTTTCCTGTAGAAAACCGGGATGGGGTGGAGACTCAAAGCTTGAAGAATTTATATAAACACCTTGGGCTCGCAAATAGTGGCGACGTTCATGTTAATTCAGTATCAGATTTCCATCTATTAACATTCGTGAAAGGAACTAACGTGTTGGACATGGTATTTATTAATTTCCTACGTTTTATCTTATTTGTATCAACATACTTAGAAAGAAATTTTCTATTATTATAAATATATAGAACGATTTTGCGGCACTCGCAAGACTCGCAACATCACATGAAGAAAAAGATGCCCTTCAGTTATCACAGAGTGCTGGATGGCAAACGTTGGTGGCTATTATGAAGAGCGGTAGGTTTTGACATTTTTTTGCTTTGTGATGTTCGATCATAAATTCTAAACTGCTATAATTGCTAAATGAATGATAGAAAATGCGAACCTACCTAATGGGAATAATGGAGGGGGCTCACTTAACAGTTTTCCAGACATAGGAGTTGGTGGTGGTGGTAGCAGTAGTGGTGGTAATACTTCTGGGTTGGAATGGGATTGTAGATATTGCACATTCACCAACACCCGCGTGGCAGTAAACTGCGAGATGTGTGGTTTACCGAAAGATGCTTGATTCTCTTACACAAATCAAAGGTTGTAGTTACATTAAATGCTCTTTGGAAAGGATCATTTGTCCATGATTCGATACTTTCATACATAGCTTCCGCTTTTGTTATTGTTGACTTTCCTGCTCTGTAATTTTTAAGAATTACCATTGTTGAGAATTTATTTCGCACTAGGGAAAACCTAATAATGCTTCATATTCTCAGAATCAAGAATTCAGTTTCACAAGAGGTTCAAAATTCATGTTCTGATTGATGAGATTGATTGAATGTATGCAAAGAATCATGATTCCAAATAATCTTTTTAAATAATGTCACAACATTACATCATACATGAACATCATTATAAACAATGTATTTGTAGACACCGATAGATCGTCATATATTTATTATATAATCTGATTACCACCCTTCATCCGTAGAGTAATTTGCGTGCAAGACGCACTGGAAATCATCAATACATAATGGGTGCTGAAGACTAAATCGTTGACGTAGACATTAATTTAAGTGGCACAATATAAAATGTCTTTGACTTCCGATTACTTAAATAAGTTGAACAAAGAGTATACGCTAACATAACTCAATGTCTCAACAATTCCGCTTATGTATAATTAATAATAATCACGATGCTGGATACTTCGCCGTATGTAAATTCAAGTTCGAGGGGGACCTAACGATCGACATTGACTTACGATTCAAATAAAACCGACCAGACGCGCAAATTGTGATCGGTTTATTGGATAGCGTGTATATTAAATTACTAATCTGGGGTGAAACCTGTTCCCTATCCTGATTTAGTTGATCCGAAGTTGCCAAATCTATTGATTGCATAGAAACGTTGTATTTTTATGGTCAACACATTGTAGTCAAGATAGAAATGCATTAAACTCGTTATACCATACCCCATTAGCTTTTCCATTTCGGGATTAATGTCCTCTTCATTAGCATCATCTTTTCCTGATTCACCATTAATGTCGTTTTTTCCCGACTCGCTTTTCTTTTTTGCTTTTTTGCGTTCCTTCTTACGCCTTTTTTCCTCTTCCTCTTGTTTTTGAGATTTCTCTATCTGCGCATCAAAATCTGCGATTTCGAATAGAATCATTAGAGTGTGAGAGAAAAAAAACCATCAAATTCAATATGATGAAAGCCTCGTCTACCATAAATCTCGGGACCTTCCTCTTTTTTCTTCTTCAATTCGGCCATCTTTGCCTTAACTTGTTCCAAACTGCTTCGCTCAACTTTCATCGTCATTCCCAGGGCACGCTGATCTAAATATTGATGATATTGTGTCAGTCAATCAGGTTTCCCGGATACATCGACGTTACTTTAATGAACAAAGGGCCTACGTTTTTTTCCGTTGATATGATCCAAAAAATTTACGCTGTCTTTGACAACACAATCGCACTCCTTACAATGGAATCCCGGTTGCTTGGAAGCGAGACCGGTGGATTGGACGACCTGGATCTTATTTAAGTTTGTATCCAGAACGACCCTTTCCGTACGGGCCTTTAGCAGATCCCGAGGTTGCTCCGCTTCAGAACCCGAGTGCTTGGCCTTTAGACCTTTACGTTTACGATCATCATCATCTTCACGTTCACGGTCTTGTCGAGCTCGCTCCCGTGCGCGTCGTTCATACTCCTCCTTGTCCCAAGTACGACGAAAATTTGTGTCTTGCTTTAAAATGCGAGGAAGGAAGTTAAGCCATTATCCTATGATGAATTTCGAGTTCGTATTAAAGTCGCACAGCTTACCGCTCCTGGTTCGTAAAATCCCTTCTTAGACATGATGTGGAAAAATTCATATTATGTCAGCTCATAGATATACTTTTTTTTTTCGAGTAATTCACGTGATCAAATGTATCACCGTACCACCATTGCCCAATTTGGAATTGGTTGGTGCCTATAAAATTGGTCGAATTTCATGATATTCCGAGAAGCAAAA